CTGATTGGAACCTCATTTGTGTGTGGTTTTCAATTGAATAATAAGAGTTTATATTATATTTGTCTGAAATACCATTGTAGATCTTCTAACCTTAATATTTGGTAATTTATACAATTAACTTCCCTGTGGTTCTACCTCGGTCTTACCTGGTTATTTATTACTTAGACATTCCTACACGGAGAAGACATTAATATTTTGGTCATGTCACACATGCTGCAGAATGACAAAGTTTAGTGATACTATTTACCTCATTATCGGGAATGAATCTTTGAAATATTTGATGAGGACAATATTTGAATAAATAAGGGTCATCCTAATAAAATGTTACTTTATGGTAACAAACGACATTGTACTTAGTCACATTATTTCATTAAAAGGAATTGAGGTTGATAAATCTAAAATCGAGTTAATTGCTAACTTGTCAACACCAAAGTCTATTAAAAATGTTAGATCATTCTTAGGACATGTTGGTTTTTATAGAAGGTTCATCAAAGATTTTAGTGTAATATCTAAACCCTTAAGTAACCTTCTAACAAAGGATAATATTTTTGAATGGACTGAACATTATAAAGAAGCATTTGTTAAACTTAAAAACTTGCTTACTTTTGCTCCTATCATTCAACCTCTTGATTGGTCATTATCTTTTGAAATAATATGTGATATTAGTGATTATGCCGTGGGTGCTGTTTTGGGATAAAGAAAAGATGAGAAACCTTATGTGATTTACTATGTAAGTAAAACTTTAAATAATGCCCAAATAAATTACACCACCACTAAAAAAAAATTACTTGCAATAGTATTTGCATATAAAAAATTCAGGTCTTATCTTGTTGACTACCTGTTGTTGTTTTTAGTAATCATGCAGTATTGAAATATCTTCTTTCAAAGAAAGATTCTAAGGCTAGATTGGTATGGTGGATTTCATTACTTCAAGAATTTGATATTATAATCAAAGACAAGAAATGCACCAAAAATATCATCACAGATTATTTGTGAAGATTGAGAACAGATTTGAAATCTGACATCACATTGACATGACGAAAAGATTGATGTCTTCTTCCAAGTGCAGGAGTGTCGAAGTAATAAATAACCTGGCAAGACCGGGGTCAAACCACAGGGAGGTTAATTGTACAAATTAT